ACATTCACACAACGACTCCAGCCCATCGCCCTACATCCAGCGCCTTAGAGTTGCAGCTTTGTTCCTCTTCCCTTGTGGACTTACTAGTGCAACTCTGGGAGGTGATCAGGCTCCCCTTCTGCCTCTTAGGGGCAGGTCCCCCAAAACGAACCCGGGTTCTTACCAGTCAGATGGGCGGCGCTCCTTAAGCTGGTTCCTGGGCCTCGCGTTCCGTTAGCGCACACAGGGCCCTCGCCCCGGCTCGCCGGGATAGGCTAGTCCCCTACGGATCAAGAGGTCCGCTGGCGCCAGGTGAGGTCGCTTCTCCTGGTGCTCCGAGGCTCGTACCCTGGTGGCAAGGGAGGTGGCAATGCACCGTCTCCGAATCCCGGACGAGCCCACAGGTAATGTTGCAGGATTCTCGCTCAGAGAGTCGTGACACCGAGACTTTTCTTTCTAGGAAGCAACTTTATTTATGCCGGCACCGCTCAGTTGGGTTCGTACCCAAAAGAACTGAGCGGCCCACATCATATGCCATAGGCTTTTTTATGCATTTTCTATTCCTTTGTCTCCCATATATGGTAATACACATAAACATGCAGTCTGATTAAGTTGTTTCAGTTTACAGGAACATGGGGGATGTAGGCAGCTGGACTCATATCTAGGTGACCTTGAAGTCTTCTCTTCTCTCTTCTTCAATTTTTTTCTTTCTCCTTAGGGAGGGGTTCCTACCACAAAAGGAGGAAGGCGTGGGAAGATTATGAGGAAAAAAAGGAAGGTTCTGACTGGAGGTTATTGACTTGGGGATGAAAAAGAGAAATTGGCAGTCAAGTCTTCAAGTTGCGGGGTCAGAGCTCTATTATCATATGTGATTTGGCCTTGTGACACCGAAATCTGACTCCATTTTTGAAAAAGCCTCCGTCTTGAGAGTGAACTAGGCCCGAACCCAGTCCCAGGAAAACCCGCAGGAAGTAAGTAGGCAGCCTGCCCTTAGTTACTTCCCTAGCAACAGCCACAGCCAATCAGTTTAAAAGAGGCGCCTATGTCCCAAGACGTTCCGATTGGCAGTTTGCGTCAGGCCAGATGGGCCGAGCTAATCGGGTACTGACAAGACAGTCTGTGCTAAAAACCAACCTATCAGGAGACTGCCAACCTGGAACGCCCCAAATTCCACTGTAATCACAATAAAAAGCCCTGCGATCACGAGTTCGGGGCTCCATACCATCACCCCTGCTTGGGTTGCATTCGAGTCCCTGCTCGAGCTTGAATAAAGACCCTCATGTGCTTGCATCACAATCGGCTCTTCGGTGGTCTTTGGGTTCTAGCGATCTGGGCATAACAGCCTTTGTCTCCAGATACTCTTCTCTTGGTGTCTCTACATCAGTCTTCCTCTCCAGATTGCTCCCTGAACACGAGTAGATTGACCTGCTGAAAGTCCCAGGGCATTGCCCTGACATTCATTGAGTTCATGCTGGAAGTTCCCTTGCAGGTAGAGTTGTGCTAATCAGGTATATTCAGATCAGCAAGTGTGAGTGGGCACGTTTGCTCTTGACGTCAGCCGAGGCATTTCTGTTTTTATAAACCAACATAAACCCAATTGGAAGTAAACCGTAATCTGTGGTTATTTACATTTTCCATTTTCCTATTTACTTTTTTTTTTAATGTTTACTTTTGAGAGCGAGCAGCGGCGAGCAAGCGGGGGAAAGGGCAGAGAGAAAGAGGGAGACACAATCTGAAGCAGGCTCCAACCTATCAGCACAGAGATGTGGGGGGCTTGAACCCAAAAACCGTGAGATCGTGACCTGAGCCAGTCAGTACTTAACCGAGCCACCCAAGCGCCCTTCTGTTTGCTTTTTTAAAGCTTTCAAGTTATTCAGAATTAGCATTTTGTAGGGCGCCTGGCTGGCTCAGTCGGTTGGACATCTGACTTCAGCTCAGGTTATGATCCCCCAGTTTGTAGGTTCTAGCCGCGCGGTGGGCTCTCTCAGCTGTGCTGACAGCTTAGAGTCTGGAGCGGGCTTTGGATTCTGTGTCTCCCTCTCTCTCTGCTCCTCCCCCATTCATGCTCTGCTCTCTCTCTCTCAAAAATAAGCAAACATTTTAAAAAAGATTTTTAATAATAATTAATATTTCTTGTTAGAGTTGTAGAGTGCTTTCTTATTTCCTGTTGGTTTGTGTCCCCTCCTTAGCATTTCCGGGCCATGTTGGAGTTGTGTTCTTGTGAGTTTTGTGCCAAGAACTTTGAACTTTCCAAGTCATCTTCTTGGCCTCCGTGAAGGCAGGATCAGGTCCTACTCCCTGTACAGGCCTAGAGAGCATCAAAGGTCTCTTCTTAGGCTTCCTTGCCTCTTGCTTCCTTTACCTGCTCTCATATTGAGATATAATTTACATACAATAAAGTTCACCCTTTGAGAGTGTACAGTTCAGTAGTTTTTACTATAATTCACAAGGTCGTGTAGCCATCACTACAGTCTAATTTCAGAACATCTTCATCACCTCCCTGGAAAAAACTTTATTTTTATTAGCCAGCACCCCCTAATTGCCTCAATTCCCTATCTCCTGGAAACCTCGAATCTACTGTTTCAGTATATTCATCTATTTTGGACATTTCATGTAAATGGAATCTTACAGGAGGCAGCCTTTGGTGTCTGGCTGCTTCCCCTCAGCATAATGTTACGGTTTAGCCATGCTGTAGCACATGTCACTATTCATTCCTTTCTATGGCCAAATAATAATTCCAATCTGTGGATAGACCATATTTTGTTTCTCCATCCTTCCTTTGATGGACATTTGAGTTTCTCTTTTTTGGCTGTTATGAATGATGATGCTGGGAAAATTCCTGTACAGGTTTTTGTACTGACATATATTTTCATTTCTCTTGGATGTATACCTAGGAGAATTCCTGGGTTATAGTGTAATTCTGTGTTTGACTTTTTGAGCACCTGCCAGACTGTTTCGCAGAATGGTACAGTAACCTATGTTCCCACCAACAGCAATTTTTCCACATCCTTGCCAATAGTTGTTACCACCCATCTTTGATAATAGCTATCCTAGTATGAAGTAGTATCTCACAATATGATTTTTAAGTTTCTGTTTATTTAAGTGATCTCTACACCCAACATGGGGCTCAGACTCACGACCCCAAGATCAAGAGTCACATGTTCTTCCGACTGAGTCAGCCAGGCGCCCCTCAGAGTGGTTTTGATTTACATTTCCCTGGTGGCAAGTAGCGTTGCCCATCTTTTCATGTGCTTTTTGGCCATCTCTTTGGCTGTACTTTTGACTTACAGAGTGTCCTGCAGCTCACTTGGACCCTCAATTGGATTCTCTTCCTGCTGGGAATCCCCTGATGAAGATCGAAGTCGTTGAAGTCCTCACACTGAACCAAGAGATAGCTCGTCCCCGAAATGCCCAGATCCGGGCTCTCTATGCTGAAGATGAGGGTCTGAGCCCAGAAGTAGTAGGGGAGCCCACTCAACAGCTAGGCAAGCACGCAGCTGACCCTGAGGCTGCACGCCAGAGGTTCCGGGGGTTCTGCTTTGAGGAGGTGGCAGGGCCCCGTGAGGCCCTGGCCCGGCTGCGGGAGCTGTGCCGCCAGTGGCTGCGGCCCGAGGCGCACTCCAAGGAGCAGATGCTGGAGCTGCTGGTGCTGGAGCAGTTCCTGGGGGCGCTGCCCAGGAAACTCCGGATGTGGGTGGAGTCACAGCACCCAGAGGACTGTCAGGAGGCAGTGGCCCTGGTGGAGGATGTCACCTGGATATCTGAGGAGGAAGGTAAGTGCATTGGAGGGGCGGAGAGGGACACTCCCGTGGGGGCATCTTGGAGGATGGGGGAGGAAGAACTCAGGCTGCCTCGGAAGGGCCAGGGAGGGCCCCTGCCCTCTTCATCTAGCAAAGGGCATCTCTTTCTCCACATGTTCCTGAGTCAGAGCTTCAGTGGTTCCTTGCTGAAGTACCTGCCGTTGCCTGTAGGTCGAGGGATCTGAAAATGGCCTATCCCTGGGCCCATCTATGGAAATGGAATGTCTCAGGCTGCACCTCACAGCTGCTGAAACCACTGGGCCGGGCCTGGGACTGCTCTCTTTAACCAGCCCTCCACAGGCTTGTGATAGGAGCTAAGGCATAAAACCGCTCACTTTCATCGTTTTGGAATCCTGCTGTGCTAGAAGCCAAGAGAAAATGAGGATTTACTCACAGAGGCACATTCCCAGAATGCCTTTTTTTCAGATTTATTTTTAACATTTATTTATGAGAAAGAGGAGGCACACACAGAGAGAGGGAGACAGAATCTGAAGCAGGCTCCAGGCTTTGAGCCGTCAGCACAGAGCCTGATGCAGGGCTTGAGCCCACGAACAGTGAGATCATGACCTGAGCCCAAGTTGGACACTTAACTGACTGAGCCACGCGGGCGCCCCAAAACTTAATTTTTTAAAGTAATCTCTACACATAATGTGGGGCTCAAATTTACAGCCCCAAGATCAAGAGTCTCATGCTTTACCAGCTGAGCCAACCAGGTGCTCCTCCCAGAGGGTTGTGAATAAAATGGTGACCAAGAAAGGAATCATAGACTCATGAGCTCAACAAGCCTTAGATCCAACAGGAATGATGGGAACTTGATAAGTGAATATTCGTTTGACAGTGATGGGGTTGAGAAGAACCCAAGGGTGCTGGTGGGGCTTCTGCAGGCAAATTGCTTGTAGCCAACACCTGGTGTGGAGTGGCACTCAGAAGGGGGCAGGAAGGATGAGCATCACCTATGAAGGCCCAAAGTGGGAGCAATGACAGTATATTCAGAAATCTGAGAGAAACTGGGTGGGCCTATGGTAGAAGGGAGCAGGGGACAGGGCCAGCAGGGCCCTTGAAGGAGTTTTTATGTTGTCCTAAAGCAATGGTAAGTGTTACTCTAAAGCGGTGGGAACCAGTCCCTGAGCCCTAGGGGCATGTGGCATCGTCTGATTGAGTAAAGATTTTCCAGGTTGAGGGCACCCCGGTGGCTCAGTGGGTCGGAGTTTCCGACTTGATCTCAGCTCAGGATATGATCTCGTGGTTTGTGAGTTCAAGCCCTGCATCAGGCTCTGCATCATCAGCACAGAGCCTGCTTGGGATTCTGTCTCTCCTTCTCTCTGCCCCTCACCTGCTTGTGCTCTTGTGCTGTCTTTCTCTTTCAAAATAAACCTTAAAAAGATTTACCAGCTTGCAGTTTGCTATGGATGGTGGACAGAGAACAAGGGCAAAATGAGAAGCAGACTGGCCACCCAGAGCTGTTACCATGCCCACTGAGAGGTGTGGTGGCTAGGGCAGGAGTGACAGTGGTGGGGGGCCGGGATAGGAGTGCAGGAGTAGGGTGCGTCTGGGGGTGAGAGTCCATGAAGCTTGATTTCTGTCAGGCTGAGTTCCATGGAGCACTTGCTCACTCAAATATGTAACCTCACACAGCAAAACTGACTTTGTGGATGCAATTAATTAAATTGAGGATTTTGAGATGGGGAGGTTATACTGAGTTATTTGGATGGATCCAGTGTAATCACAAGGTCCCTACAGGAGGCAGGCATGCAAGTTAGGGGCAGAGAAGACCTGAGGAAGGGCTGGGAGCTAGGTATTTTAGGTGGCCTTCAGAAACTGGAAAAGGTGAGGAACACATTTCCTCTAGAGCCTCAGAAGGAAAGTAGCCCTGCCATCAACTTGATTATAGCGCGGTGAGGTTGGTGGCAGACCTCTGGTCTCCATAATCATAGGAAAGCAACTTTGCTTTTAGGCACCATTGTAGTGATTTGTTACAGCAGCAATAGGAAACTGATAGAGGTACCAAGGAGACAGTTGGGGGACTCATGACATGAAAGCCAGTCTTACATTTCACACCTTGGGGTTGAATGAAATCAATTCATATTACAGTGAATGGGGGAAGAGGCCTTCCAGAGAACACTGAGAATCCTATACTGGTAATCAGCAAGTTAGTTGCGACTCTGGTGAATGCCAAGGAGGAGAATTTACTGAAAAAGTCCCAGGGCAATCTAGCTTCAGGCACAGCTGGACCCAGGGGCTCCTGTAGTGTCCTCAGGAATCATCTTCTCTCCTCTGTCATACTTCTGCTGGCCTCTGTTTAGCTTCATCCACAGGCAGGCTGTCTCCATACAGAACCTCCCCGCACAGAATCTCTCTTTCCTGAATGTTTCAACAAAAGCCTCTTTGGCTCTGCTTATCTAGCTGTGGGCCCCGTATTAATCCTGGATCCAATCCTTGTGGCCAGGAGGAAGCGGCAGCCTGGGTCACATTGTGTGTCCCCCTTGATAGCAGGGGTGGGATCATCCTCTTTATGGAAGCCTCTGGACCAGGGACAGATGAGGAGAGTCAGGCATGAAGGAGCTGTGGTTGAGAGGGGCTGGAAGGCCAGGCAGAGCTGTTTTCTAAGATGGAGGAAACTTGATAAAATTCTCATCTGGATGGATGTGTGTTATGAGAGTGGGTCTAGTCCCAGAGGCGAGAAAGGGGTGTTTGCTTCTGAAGAGCGTTGTGAGGCCAGTTGCTGAGGCGAATGGAGAGATGAGGCAGCTGCCTCGGAGGAGGAACTGGGTCCAAGACAGTTCTTATGGAGGGAGTGGGGCCAGGGGTGTCAGCAGCCAAGACACTGGTGCCCTAGTCAGCCCTATGGGGTGACACATCCTGAGCTATCCAGGCGGGATTTGGGCACAGGCTGTGAAGAGAAACCAGAGTGGGACCTGAGCTGGTGGTAAGAAAGGGTGGGCACAGATGCCCTCACAGCAGTAACAGCAGGTACGATATGAGTGTGTGCTGGCCCCAGGGGTCCCAGAGAGAGACATGGCTGTCACTGCCCCATCCTGGAAGTAGCACCACCGCACTCAGCTGATCCCCTGTGCTGTGTTTCCTCCCAGCATTACCCGCCCAGGACCCCACCTGCTCTCTTGAGACCACAGCTCCTCAGGAAGAGAATATGACTACCTGGCTGGCGAAAGCGCCACCTGAGGTGAGTGGGGGGTGTCACCTTTCTCTTCTCTAGTCACAGTGTCCCCTCTGAGGGGACCTCCCCCCAACCCCACCCTCCCATGGGGCAGACTTTTCAGTTTCTGAACGTGAAGGGCTGGGTTGCCTTGCTGCTGCTGTGGAGACCAGGAAAGGGCACAGTGACTGGGAGGCAAGAAATTTGGAGGAAGGAGGGAAGGGCCAAGTGTTTATAGATGCTTGGGAGCCCCAGGCAGAGACACGCACACCACATCTGGATCTGGGTTAGAACAAGAGAACCCTTGTCCTTCAGAAATGCATACTTGGGTGTTTATGATGGAAAAACTGGAATTTGCTTCAAAATATCCCAGAGTGGGGGCCAGATGAAAGCAATGGGCGTGTCTTCCCAACTATTGAGGCTCAGACAGTATGATTGAGTGATGGTGTGTGTGGCATTGGTCAGGACTCTTTCTGCTGCAGTGGCTCACAACTGGTTTAAGCACAGGGTGACCTGATTGCCTCTCACATAATGAGTGGTCTGTGGTGGGTTTCAGGCCAGATTGTATTCAGGGGCTTCCAAGTGATGAGAGGAATGTCTCTCCAGTCCTGGTCTTATGGCTCTGCTTTCTCCCATCCCTTCTCAAGCAGGCTCTGCCCCTCGTAGGCACAAGGGCCCCCAGATCCAGGCAGAGTGCCATGGGGAGGCCTCTTCCTGCTGGAGCTCTGGCCAGCTCCCCAGAAAGGACTGATATTGTCTTCTGGCCACACCACCCCCGCCAGCTACCATCCACAAAGGCAGGGCTGGTTCCTCCATGGGCGGAAGGGCTGTTCCCAGAAGAAGGGGGTGTGCCTAGCAGGCGGGGCTTGTCTGAGGGGCAGTCGTCTGTGGGAAGTTGATGGAAAGGATGAGCTGCACACAGGCCCAGACAGAGGGGAGGCAGTTTGCTTATGGCGTTTGTAGCTCTTAGTGAAGCAGAGACTCTGCCTCCGGTCTGGGCCCCCCTGACTCTGGTGTTGTGACAAAGGACCCAATGGGCCTTTTATGGCTCAAGCCAGTGTTTCTGAGCAAACTCCAAAGCAGGGGTGCCCTCAGCACAACAGACTGTTGGGAGGCCCCAGTCATCTGTACCTGTCGATGACCCTCCTGCTGAGCAGACACAGAGTGTGATATTGCAGGAACCAGTGACCTTCCTGGATGTGGCTGTGGACTTCAGCAAGGAAGAGTGGGGGCTGCTGGACCCAACGCAGAGGACCGAGTACCATGACGTGATGTTAGAAACCTTTGGACACCTGGTGTCTGTAGGTAAGGCTGTGCCTGTGCTGGGGACTGGGAGCCCTGGGAGCCCGGAGTCAGGGCCTGCACCTTCTCTGGGCCCAGTGTGAGCACTGGGCATGCCATCAAGAGTTCCTTGCATTGTCCGTGCCTTTAGCGGGTCCTGTGGAGCTGGAAGGGTGGGCACTGTGCGGACAGCAGCAGCTCAGGCCCAGGGAAGGACTGACTTGCTGCTTACTCTGAAGGCATATGAGGAGTCAGAGAGCTGGGAGAGCGTTCCCTGTTCTTGCCCCACCCCTGACCACCAAGCTCTGTGTTCCTCTCCTTCTGCTTCACTGCTTTCTGTAGTATCCCCAGGTTGCATGATTGTACTTGGAAAACAAAAACAAAAAAACAGCTTCTAAATACTTGATGATGTAATACTGATAGTCCATTTTAGCACTTTCTCTCTACAGTATCCACACCTTTTGGGTTCTTTCAGGGTGGGAGACTACACTGGAAAGTAAAGAGTTAACTCCAAAATCTGACATTCCTGAGGAAGAGCCAGCCCCTGACCTGAAAGTGGAAGAATTCTCAAGGGATGACACCTGGTCCTCTACCTCCGGAGACATCTTGGAGGATGGGACCCAGGAAGTCTTGGACACAGCACTGAAGCAAGTGGGGCTAACTCAGGAAGAAACCCTCTCTCGGAAAAGCCCCCAATCCCAGGCAAACACTGGCCTTGTCACAAGCCATATTTCACTCCAGAAAACTCTGCCCAGGAAACGCTTGCGCAAGCGTGGCCCACGGGTTAAGAAGGTGACACGTGGGCCATGTGTAAAAATTCATCAGAAGGGCCACAACGGGGAAAAAGCCAGAGAACACAGTGGTTGTGGGAGAACCTTCAGCCGGAGCACTCAGCAGATTACATTCACAAGAATTCACAAGGGGAGCCAAGTTTGCCGATGCAGTGAATGTGGCAAAACGTTCCGGAACCCAAGATACTTCTCTGTACATAAAAAAATCCACACAGGAGAGAAACCCTACGTATGTCAGGACTGCGGAAAGGCATTCGTTCAGAGCTCTTCCCTCACACAGCATCAGAGAGTCCACACTGGAGAGAGGCCTTTTGAGTGTCACGAGTGCGGGCGGACCTTCAATGACCGCTCGGCCATCTCCCAGCACTTGCGCACTCACACCGGAGCCAAGCCCTACCAGTGTCAGGACTGTGGGAAGGCCTTCCGCCAGAGCTCCCATCTCATCCGGCACCAGAGAACGCACACTGGGGAGCGCCCCTACATGTGCAGCAAGTGCGGAAAGGCCTTCACCCAGAGTTCGCACCTCATTGGGCATCAGAAGACACACAGTGGGGTGAAATGCAGGAAGAAACAGCCTACCTCATAACCCTCAAGCGGAGCTGGCCGAAGAGCCTGACCCTGCAATGTAACAAGAATGGGCCTGGTTGGCGTTCAGAACGGAACGTGAAAAGCAGCACTGAGTGATGACATTCTCAAAACCAAAGGACAACCGGGGAGACCACCCTGCACACAAGTAAATGAGAAAACTGGTGAGGAGTTGTTGCTAATGGATAGAAGTTGGAGAAACATTTTTCACTCACTTGATTTGCTGTTAAAATATTTGTTTGCTCATTTGGTCATTAAAAGTGATACTAGGGAAACCTGGAGATGCTTATAATGTAAGCTTAAAAAGCCAGGTACCAAAGTCTGTGCACTGATAGATTTGTGGTAAAGTATTTATGCATATGGACAAAGACTAAAAGAGAACAAAGATAAATAAACTATATATTTCTGTGATAGAATCTGTTTTTTTTCCACCTATTAGATATCTTTCGTTAATAATTTGATATTCAAAATAAGCAATAGGGGTGCCTGGGTGGTTTAGTTGGTTAAGCGTCCGACTTTCGCTTAGGTCATGATCTCACGGTTCGTGGGTTCGAGCCCCGCGTCGGGCTCTGTGCTGACTGCCAGCTCAGAGCCTGGAGCCTGTTTCAGTCTGTGACTCCCTCTCTCTCTGACCCTCCCTTGCTCACGCCGTCTCTCTCTCTGTCTCCTAGAAATAAATAAACATTAAAAAAAAAAAAAAGCAATAATTACATTGTCAGCTCAGTTCTAGCAGACTCTGTACAAGGCTGCAGTCCCTCTGACCCAAGATTCCAAATGAATTAGGATGAGTGGGTCATTCTGATCCTTAGAGCATCATTAAGATGAAGGGAATGTTCGGTTCAGGGAATGGGAATCTTGAGCAACCAACCATTGGAGATCTAGAGGGAGGGAAACCCCAGGCAAGTGGGGGACCTTCCCAGAAATGTTCATTCCCTTCACATTTCCACTTTTCCTACAGGACTCCTTCTAAGGAGGGAATCACCAAGTTAAGCCACAGAAGTTGCCAGTATTAGGGCGTGTGTTTGGGGCCCATGTTTCATGTTTTACGTGAGAGGATAGATTAAAATCCTTTCTCAGATCACACAGCCTGTAACCTGCAGCCCATCCACCCCTCGTTCCATGACTCCACCTCTACTCTCTTGAGTTGTACTTAACATTTCAAAACACCTAAAACTCTGGGTCAGATGTTGAACTTAATGCTCGTCAAATACTGGTTGAATGCTACAGGGCACGCCTCTTCAGAGCCCTTGGGGTCATACTGACAAGTGTGAGGCACAGTCATGCCATCTGGAGTGAGAGTGTCTCACTCCTTTCTCTACAAGAGTGAACAGCTCCTGGAAACAGACTAGATAAGTCAGGAGGCCAGGTGCCTGGAGAATGATGGCACACCAGCTGTCATACTGCAATTCACACATCAGGCACAGGGCTCATACCTGCTATATCACACCTCCACATTAGTTTCTTTGAGAGATGAAACATCTTGGGGCTGAAGAACTTGCCAGGGCCCTGCTGCCCTCCCGCTACACAGTTGGAGATCTTTCCAGGGGAGACAGAGCAGTTTTCAAGAGGGTACATCAGCAGCTCCTTCTTCAAGTGCTGATGATGTAGGGATGTTCATTTACTTGGGGAGTGGTCTCACCATCATGCCCAGTGCCCACTGGGGAATGCCATAGCCATGTGCTCAAACGAGGTCACTTCATCCTGAAATGCCATAGTTTTGTTGCCACAAGATGGTCACTGAAGGAGGTGTGCTGACTGCTTTCACATCTGTGGCAGTTTCAAATATGGCCACAAACTCTTTGCCTTTCCTCCATTTCTGGAATGTGGTTGGGTTTAGGACTGCTTCCACCAATAGGGTCAGCAGAAGTCATACCATGTAACTTCCATGAAAGTCATAAAGGATGCTGAGAACTTATGCTTACTCAGTGAAATGAGATACGGTATTGTCAGCTGAAAGTGTGACCAGGCTGCAAGATGTTGGGTAGTCAACGAGAAGAGAAATCATCCCCACAGAGGGAGTGAATGGATGAGGGTGGGCTTGCCTAGCTGCTCATCCAGGGCCCCTGAGGTTTGGGTACACTAACCTAAAGGCTATTAATATACAAGTATGAAATCCAGTTGACTGCTTTAGAAGTCTAGAGAAATTGATCTCTGAAGTTCTCTGAAGTGAATGGAAGAGTTGCCACTTTCCTTAAAGTAGGAGATGATGCAGAATTTGAATATATGAAGCTGGTGGTCTCCCATCTTTTCTCCACCACACATATCAGCAGCACCCACCGTTATACTCACAAGTTTGCCATCAGGGCTCAGTGTGCCTGAATCTCCCGGGGGCTTTTGGGAGGCAGAGAGATGACCCCCACAGATATCCACTGCTAGGCCCCAGAATCTGTGAAAATGGTGCTTCATATGGTCAGAGGGACTTTGCAGGTGTGATTAGGTTAGGATTTTGAAACTGAGAGATCATCCCGGATTATCCCCATGGGCTCAAAGTCATCACACGGGTCTTTATAAGAGGGAGACAGGAGGGTCCAAATAAAAGAGTAAGATATGACAAAAGCAGCAATTGGGAGTGATGCATGGCTATAAGACAAGGAATGTGACTGGCCTCTAGAGGCTGGAAAAGGCAAGGAAATGGACTCATTCCCTAGAACCTTCAGAATGAACACAGTCCTGGAGACACCTTGATTTCAGCCCAGTGATAGATTTCTGACCTCCAGAATGGCAAAATAATAAATTTGTATTGATCGAGCCACTAACTTTGTGGTAATGTTTCTGCAGTAATAGCAAACATGCAGGGGGTATATGTGATGTGCAAGTTTCCACCAGTGGGTTCTGATCTGTGACCAAAGGTATGGTGTATCTCGCTTGGAAGCACTGCATCTGGGGGAGAGACTGGGGGCAGGCATTCTGCCTAGGGTTGGCAGCATGGAGGGAATGAATGGTTTGGTGCTAGTGGAATGGTTCTCAGTCTCACAAACATGTGGAGATTGGTTAGGTAGGAAAAGTCTAACGGTCTGGATGATTAAGTAGAATGCTCTGGCTTTTTTGTGAGCTTGGGACAAAAACTGCTGTCTGGTAGAAAAGTGTGTAAATGTAACATCTGGAGGAAGCGACAGCTACACTTGCAAAAATGGATAAGGATAGGAAGGCCTGTGTGGCTCAGCTGGATAAGGATCTGACTCTTGATTTCAGATCCTTATCCAGATCTTGACTCAGATCCTGATCTCACAGTTCACGAGATTGAGCCCTGTGCTGGGTTCTGTGCTGACAGTGCAGAGCCTACTTGGGATTCTCTCTCCCTCTGTCTACCCCTCACCCCACTCTCTCAAAATAAATAAATAAATGTTAAAAACAAACATTTTTTTTACAAGCAGGACCTCCCTTCAAAGAAAGCAGAGCCCATTACATTAGGTGAAAAAAGTTCAGTCACGCCTTTCTAATTTGAGGTGCTCTAAACCAAAATGTTAAAGAATGTCTGGAAGTAAATAAAGTGCCACATAACGTGATGCCTGCAAAAGCAAACAAAATGAAGCATGTCAATACTGAAATCAACCAAAGTGGAATTAAAAGTTAGAGGGCTGAACAGGATAAAAACATTTTGGTGTGATCAAAGTACTGAAAAAGAAGAAATAACAATTTAAAACCTATATGCAACTAAAAAATGGCACTTAATTAAAACAAAAGTCAATTTGAGATACATGGAGAACTTGATTAGAGCAAGACAAAGTAAAAGCAGTTGTGGAGAAAGAATTTAATACACTGCCTTCAGTATCACACATATCTAGCATATAAAATATACATAATAAAAAACTGAATAATAAAATTAAGAGGTTCAATTTAATATCTGTACATAGGATTTTTGTCCCTATGATTTCAAGAATATATGTGTGCTTAATAAAAATAATAATATTAGGGGCACCTGGGTGGCTCAGTCGGTTAAGCGTCTGACTTCAGCTCAGGTCATGATCTCATGGTTCATGGGCTCGAGCATTGCATCGGGCTCTGTGCTGACAGCTAGCTCAGTGCCTAGAGCCTGCTTCAGATTCTGTGTCTCTCTCTCTCTGACCCTCCCCTGCTCATGCTGTCTGTCTCTCTCTCTCTCTCAGAAGTAAATACAAACATTTAAAAAAAAGTAAAGTAGAATTATCAACAATTAAGGAATTAATATTTTGCCTTAAGGAATTGGAAAAACAGTACAATAAACCAAAAACAATAAAATAGAAATGTATTCAAGTTAATGGAAATTAAAGCCAAAGTTAGTGAACTGGAGAGCAAAGGGAAAGAAAAGGTTATAGTAATAGAGAAATCCCTCACAAAAGAACAAAACAAAAAGAACAAAAGTATTATAACATAAATGAGAAAGAAGATAACCACAGGCATGGATGTAAGGAATTATAAGACTATTACACAGAACTACATGGAAATTTTCCTAATATAAACAAAAGTGACCAAAAAGAGATGGAACATGGATACAAATCCTAAGAGGTTTTATAGCTGACTTAAATCTAACTTTAGGGAATAAACTATTCCAAATTGTTAAAAAATTCCCCATCAAAACAAAATGGACAGCTTCACAAAATATTAAATGAAGATAACACAATACTCACATCTGATAAAGATGGTATAAAAAAGAAATTTATCACCCAGCTTCATCTATGAAAACAAGTACATAAGTTGAAAATAAAATATTTGGGGCGCCTGGGTGGCTCAGTCAGTTAAGCGTCTGACTTCGGCTCAGGTCATGATCTCATAGTTCGTGGGTTCAAGCCCTGCATTGGGCTCTGTACTGACAGCTAGCCTGGAGCCGGGAGCCTGTTTCGGATTCTGTGTCTCCCTCTCTCTCTGACCCTCCCCTGCTCATGCTCTCTCTGTCTCAGAAATAAATAAAAAACATTAAAAATTTAAAAAATATATATTTAATCAAATCCAACAGTATATCTAAAGAACAATACCAGGACAAAACAATTTATTTCAGGAATGCAAGAATGCTTCAATTTCAAGAAATATATCAATACAGTTTAATCAACTGTATAAAGAACTCACACCCAAGAAAAACTGAATGTAATCACCATGGGATACCTTTCAGTTGGCCTTCCTTACCTGTTAGAATAGATATTCTATAATTCATACTGGAGAGAGACCCCACGAAAACAAAACAAAACTATTCTGTTGTAATCACTGTGAGAAATCCTTCAGCACATCCTTGATTTTAATATTTATCAAAGAAAGCATAATATTGGCACCTGGGTGGCTCAGTTGGTTAAGCCTCCAATTCTAGATTTTGGCAAAGGTCATAATCTTACAGTCTGTGGGTTTGAGCCCCACATCAGGCTCTGTGCTGACAGTGTGGAGCCTGCTTGGAATCCTCTCACTCCCCCTTTCCTGCTCACATGTGTATGTGAGCTCACTCT